AAACAAATAAAACCCCAAAACAAAATAAACAAACAAAAACCAAAACAACCAAACACCTGTCCAAGGCCTTTGCCTGTGTAAACATACAGTTTCTTTCAGCTATAGGCAGGAGCTTTATATCCCAATGAACTCTATCCATCTATGGACCCAAACCTGAACACTGCCTTAACGTTGTGACCCCAACAAACAGCAGCTATGAGGAGCAAAGACTATAACTGACCTATTCCAGCACTTTAAAACTGAACACCAAACTGGACATCTAAGAAAATCACATGAGTAATGAGAATGGAAGCACTGATATCTGCCATTACTGCTTTAATGGGCCAGAAACAAATACTAGCTTGGTTTGAATCCAGGGGACAAAGAAAAATAATGATGCCAAGCACACTTAAAAAGACAAAGTTAATATGCCAAGTATGATGATTATATAAATTATAACTACAAAAAAAATACTATTTTCAAATGTTTAACTGTTGCATAGAACAAAATCCACCTCAAATAATTTGCTCCTCAGAAGATTTGATTTCTGAAAATAAGAGGTCAAGCAAGAAACAAATAAAAGAAAAAAGATGCGAATTCAGAAGCAAAAGGGTTAATGTTTTGTTTCAGTCGGTGTTATACCAATGCCAGAATTACAAGGGAAAGGCTAAAATGAGCCAATTTTTTTCTTTATTATTATTATTATTCTTTAAAAGAAAAAAATCATGCCTATCTGTCACAGGGTTGTCCGGACTGGAAGAACCGGCAGGAACCTCAAATTCCTGACCAAACCCTCTTCCACACAATGCCTCGTGAATGGAAGGAACCGAGGCCCGGCAGAGATAGCCCCCTGTCAGGAACCAGCCCTGACGTTTGCGGACAGACGGGGCTGGCCTCGCAGGATGTCAGAGCAGCAAACTGCTGTTCGAGATACTGGGTTTTCACACACTCCCAGCCTGGATGTTTTGCTCTTCAGGTAATTAAACAAGGAAACGGGGCTGCTGTGTACGAGTCTGACCCCTGCGCGGCGGCTCCGCGGTTCTGCACATCGGCTTCCGCACAGCCGCCCCCGGCACCCGCAGAGCCTTCGACTGCTGCTCCTGCCTCTCCTGCGCCCGGCTCCACAACAAACCCTCCTGGAAATATCTGCTGCTATTCCCTCCCTCCCCCACACCCACTTTACACCAAGGGCTGCATTATTTGCTCTGTTCCACACACCTCGATTTCTCATAAAAAGAAGGGAAAAATGAAAGAAATGAGTGGGTGCAGCTCATTCAGCCAGTCATTCAAAATGTTAAATTTATTGGGGGGAGGGGATGAACAGACAGAAAGATGAGGCAAGGGATTCCCAAATTAATGTTTAGTTTAAGGTCATTACTCAAAAATATCTTGAAACATATTGCCAATTTGTCCAGCCAACAGCCAGACATTCACAAATTTAGAAATAAAATTATTCTGATTTAAGCATTATTGAAGAGTCTTTGTCTTAAAAAAGGACAGAAATCATAGACCTAGGCATTAGAAAAATAGACCAGTGTTTTCTCTCTCTGTTTTCCCAAATTTCAGAAATGGGAAAGGGCAGGTGTTACCACCTATACTTGGCAGAAATCCTTATACAGGGCTGCTCTGTGACTGACCTAGTTTCTACGCTCTTTAAAGGCTATTTAAACAAAAATTATTTTTTAAAAAGGTAACACATTCCTACTTCTTTCTGAAAAATCCACAGAATAGAATATTGGCTGAAAAGAGAAGAGCCCAGAAGAAAGAGGAGTACAAAAGCATGCCTGCTTGTCTGTGTTCGACACAAAGAACATTAAATGAAAACAACTGGCACGCTGCCAAATTCCTATACAGGCAAAGAGATTCAAATAAATTGATTTCACGCATCACACTGACCTGGGATCAGTGAGCAGTGGTACAATACACTTGCTGCTCCATGTGGGGCAAAGCCCATTAACGTTATCAGAGACATATTACATTGAGGGGGAACAGGGAGGGGGGCACAGAGAAGGAACCTAAACTCTGCAAATTCAGAGAAAAAAACTAACTTTGAAAAACGAACTTGAACTGGAGCTTCGTTTCAGTTTACCAATAAATATATCATAATGCAAGAGCTTGTCCTCTGCTCACCTCAAAGGTTTCAAAGATCGTATTTTCAAATTAAAATAAATACTAATGTCAAACACACACACTCCCCTTACATTCTACTTTTAACACAGCTGTTCTCAAACTCACTTATTCTGTAAATTTCCTCCCTTCCCCATCCGCTAGCGTTCTATATAGATTATGGGTTATTTTCTTTGTACTTCAAAAGCTGGATTCCTGCCCAGGATACTCTTACTGACTCAGAAAGCAAGCTGGAGAAATCGGCCATTGCTCTCAACTGGCCCAAATCAACCTGACCTAGAGAGAAAAATACTTTATTTGCAAGGTAGCAGAAAGCAGGACACCAGTATCCTTTGCAGAGTCATTCATACATGCTCCCACATACCAGGGAGCTGTCTCCAAACCAGTATTTCAAATTTCACTTTCTTACTAATGTGAAATAACCCATATTTGCTGTGGAGTCTCTCCTTGTCATCCTGGCTTTGTTTTTCATTATGCTCTCTCACACTCCAATCAAGAGCAATGCCAGCAAGCCACAGGTGTGCACCACATGAACAGACGAAATTGTGATTGGAAGGACAACTCACTGTCTATAATACACTTGCTTACTCTTTTGCATCTGTGGTATGTTTGAAGGGGACTTTAGTATTTTCACTGTAATCCTTAAGATACATTGGTAAGCAAACAATTGTTTTGAAGATTAGAAAGGAAGCCAAGAGAAGATGACTTTGCAATAGCAAAACAAAGATGAGGATGCTTGAAAGGGGTGACATCAGCAGAAGTAGTCATTGCTGCAAGAGGCCATTGCTTCAAGGGGGCAATAGACTCAAAACACCTTTTGTTTGTCTTTTACTTCATTTAGGTTTCAAATAGCAAGTCAAATCTTGGGCACAGACAAGGCCATATTAAGTTAAGCTCAAACAGTGTTGGCTTCATCTCTAATTACTCAGTGAAATTTAAAACAAAATAAACACTGAAAATGTGGAGCTTCTTGTCCATTTAAGAGCAAAATTTTTATGCATGTCACAAATATATTCAGATGTAGACACCTTACCCAGTCACCTCAATTCAAGTAAATGTGAAAACAGGAATGGCCAAAGATCTAAGAACTGTTAACCACCACTGATCACTCTAAGAGCTACAAAGCAGTTTTGAATTCTTCATTACCAGGGTGAAAACGACGCAATATTGTTAACTCTGTAAGAGGTGTCACAGAGGGATGTGTTTATTTAAGGATAAGCTACAACTGATAGAACTGCACAGGGAAAGGAATCATGCAGTACACAGCAACTTCTCCATGGCAGAGTTATGCCTGCACCCAGGCAATACAGGGAGCACAACCTGCGCAACAGTGAATAAGAGGGATAGGGTGCTGTTCCCTCCCTTTTATGTATACTTCAGCAACCATCAGATCAGCTGGACTTTATAGAAATGAAGCAAATTTTAGTCATATTAATTCCCTTTCTTTAAATTAATGGTATTAGAAAATAAGCCTTTCTCCCAAGTTGTAGGAAATTTCCATTATCTTGCATGTGCTCTGACAGCAATAAAACACAATAAACTTCCCATTAGTCTGCCAGCACTTCATGCTTCAGGCATGACATCTTTACTTTTGCATTTCTTTATTTTTTTAATCCTTTATGAAGACCCATATGGCAAGAGAAACCAACAACCAACCACCTGTACAGGGCACATTTGCACTTTGAAAAACAAGACTGTAGATAGTAAAAAAGAAAAAATAGTCAGAAGCTATACACTGCTAAATAAGCAAAATCAAAACACAAGAAGAAACCCTGCTAAGATTATTCATTCTCTTCCAATGCTGCCTGAGTACATGACGGTCCCACAAAAGCACTTATTTGTTTTAAACTGAGCTAGGAACTCAAGTTAGAATGCAAAATCATTTTTATTAGGATTTAATTTTTTTAAAATATGTTCACACTGGTGCACAAAACAGGCTTGGCCCTTGCCACAAGGTGATGTGCAGAGGCTCCCGCTGGCTCTCTCAGATATTCTCCATCTCTCCACACCCCACAGGCAGAGCAGCATGGGCCGTGGTGTCTCAGGTGGGAAAACAAGTAATATGATCAAGGCTGAGCTACCTTTAAAACTATCCAGGGCAAAGCCAAGAGTACTAAGACACTATTCATCTTATTTTGGTACCATACTCTATCAAAGTTATGTCAGGCAATAGGGTGCAACACTGAGAAAGAAAGTTATCCAAGTGTTGGAAAGCACTTAAAACCAGTTTAGCAGTTTCTTGCCATCCAGACACACACCATTTTAGAAGAAAAAATGCAGTTACAGTAAAGACAGGAACAACTGTCACAGGTTATCTAGAAACTTTTTCCAGCAATAGCAGATTTACTTTTCTAGTAAAAATCTTTGCGCACAAGAAGCAGAAATATTCGGTCCCACTATCATCTCAATCAAATTTATCACAGATTCCCAGTTTGATGCAATGAGTTTACCAGAGGATTCCACTAAATTACAAACAACTGTTTTGCCAATGTGATTACAACTGTCTCTTAACCTGGTTGCAAATACTATTCCAATTCACAGTTCTGAAAACTGAACATCACTATTTCCACAACTCAGCCAAGTAATACTGACATGACACATAAAAAGCGACTATATAAAATACAAAAAGAACCCCAAAGTCAAAAATTTCACATATATTTATTTAAGATTTTAGAAAAGTCATGACTGATGTATTTTATTAGCATTGCAGTACTCCTCACTGGTATTAAACAAAGACAGCACCTTCATTGATTTAGGCAGACTCTTTGGAGCTAAAGGGAAAGATTTCTTTTTTAATTACAGTTTACAAGGCAAGGTACAGTCATTATATACACACGAATAACTTCTAAAAGGTATATTCACATTATAAAATCAAATATTTTTCTGTTCCTTACCTTGGCAAAATTCAAAGTTCCCTTTTTTCCGGCAGTCACCTATCACTAAACTCAGTGCTCTCCAAGTGTTTCTTTTGACAGATATCATTCTCCACCAACCGCTCTGCTAATTTCCTCTTTCCTTTTCTGACTGGGACAGATATTATGTTCACCAGCCCAGAGATCAATCTTTTCTATTGACAACAACAAATGAAAAAAAAAAAAAAAAAAAGCATATATCACAGCCAGTTTGAAGCAGCAGACCCCTTCATTTGCATGATAATAGTAGTCTTTAAAAAGGGAAGACAGAAACATTATTCTAAACCAAGTAACCACATTTTCTTAGCTAATATAAGGTAGTACTTTAAAATTTTATTAATTCTTCAACAAAGGTTGTTTCTTAACTTGCTCAGTTAAAACAGCTGACATGTAGAAGGCAACAAATTAAGGGTAGTCTATATTCTACCTATTAGTTAATTCTGTAAAAATGCTTGGGTTTAAATACATTCATATAATATAAAATATGACATACTTTACCTGGTTCAACAGAAGCTCTAGAGAATAATTTATTAAATCAAAATGTTTACTAAAAATAGAGATCTTCCAATTTATACATCGCTATACTAAATTGGACTTGTAAATCATAACAGCAAACACATTTGAGCAAAGGCAGATCAAAAAGCTATTGATATATTTACAAATAATCTTCCCACTTTTGAAAAGGCAATTTCCCTCCCACTCCAACACCTAAAAAACCTGTTTATTTGGGTTACACAAACTCTCTGCCATTTGTGTAAGAGTCTGTATCACAGTTGTCAGTTTTTCCAAGGCATTAATATGCTTTTCAGAGGTTCATAATTATGTCAAGACAGAAAGTTTTTCAGAGCCAAGCACACACATTTACGTACATGCTTCAATCTGCAATCACTATTCAAGTACTTCGGGACATAAAGTTAAGCATGCACAAGGATCCGGCCACAGCTCATGCATCTAACCCAGAATCCAGCCCCAACCCTCTCCTGGACCAGATCTTTCTCAAAAAAAAATGCATTGCCCAAGGGCATTTGCAAAAGATCAATTTGTGTTTGTGCTAGAAATTTCAATCTTTCCCACAAACAAGCACCCTTCTCAAATCAAAACAAACCTTCCCAAGTTAGGTTACAGAACAAAGGAGTTCACCAAAGTCCCTCCTTTCTTTCCAGTGGTCTTGGTCGGACATTTCCCCACAGTCCTGAGAGAAGCCAAAATTCCACTGATTTCAGTGAAAACAAGTGGTAAGGACTGCAGGGCTCTACTCGGAACTTGGCAACTGTGGAGCTCTTAAAGTGACACAACTGCCTCTGGCATTTGGAAAATAAACTCCAAAATGTGGTTAGGACTCCACAACTTGGTACAATAACTACTTTTATAAAATTATTTTTATTTTCTATGTAATTCTCTAGTTGTCACAATGTTCTTACATAGGCAATAAATTTACCTTTCAGTTGTGCCCTTGCATGAATTGTGTACTTTTCAATTGCCTAGACTTTTAATTTCCATAAATGCATACAGCATTCTCTGAATTGTTGTTTGATCTGATTTTTACAGTCATAAGCCCACGCCTCTACCAAAACTTAAAAATTCTCCACTGACCAAGTGGCCCAATAAATTTCACTGAGATAATTTAAACATTAAGTTTTCTACCAAGTGACAATAGCACAATCTGGCTAAAATACTGTCTTATAGTGGAATATTAAATTAGCATCCTATCTTGGATTCAGTGTTACACAGCAGAGATCTGTAATGATATATGCGTGTTTTTCTAACCTTTTCTAATTTGGCCACTAGAAACAATTATGGTCAAATACGTTAAACTATGTAATATATAAAAATTCAATATTTCTGTCTGCCAAATAGCATACTCCTTTTTCATGGCTGGTAAAAGATTTTAAACATCTTACCGTAAAAATGTTCTTATTTAAAAAAAAAAAAAATCTGTCATCCACTTTACAATGAAGACATCACCTCAATTTACTACTCTCCCTTTGTTTCAGGCCCACATTCATTTTTTCTATATGCCACATTTTCCAAAGTGACGGATGAATTTTGCTATACCCATTCTACACTAATCTCCTTCTTTAAATGTATTTTTGCTTCCTGAATTGTAAACTGCTGCTGTTGTTCAAATGTGCATACAAAATTGTCTAATGTCTGAACTTCACTGAAAGCAGAATGCCTCAAACAATTTGTAGTCTTACATGAGTATTATAAAAAAGGATCAACATGTTGCATTACCATGGAAATTTTGAAAAACATACTTTCCCAAACAAATATTACTTTTTCTCAATGGTATGAAGTAATGAAAACCACATGTGTAAATCTGCGATCCGTGCAGTAGTTCAAGCTGCAGCTAATAGAAAATACAGAGAGTGAACTCTGCCATATAAAGGATTCTTGTTACAGAAATATAATGTGAAAACCAGATGCAGACAGAAAACCTTAATCACAGATGGGAATGTAATCACTGGCATACAGAATACTTTTTTGATCAACCTCAACCATATGAGAAATGTATTTATTTTCTAAGGAATGCAATAACTCTAGAGAGTCTTCTATTTGAATTCAGTTAACCTCATATTCACAGTGCTTTTATCTTGTATGTGTAGAGAAGGGGGATACAACCTGAGCCAAGACTTTTAGAAGAGCCGTTGGCTCTGGCAAATCATTCTTGTATCAGCTTATCTTTCAAGGAATTAATAGGATGTAAAGACTACAAATATCAGGATCAGCCTCAAATGAAACCAACCATTATTGTACTTCCTAGTTACTGCCAGAAATCCCTTCATCACCTAAGCACTTCCCCAGTTAAATCCTCCCTTTAATATGTGGTTCTTCAGAAATACAATGGTAAGAGCAAGCACGCTGTCGCACTCAAGTTCAGCGAATCAGAACTGGAGTCCTACAGCAAAGAATTTCCCTTTATAAAAGCTGAAGAGTCATCAGTTCAAAAACAAGTTTACCTGGGGCTTCCTTCTAACTGCTGAAAGTCCCTGTGAACGCCCTCCACCCACACAGCTCCCGGGAGTTAGCAGGAAACAAAGGACCACAGCTCAGGGCACCTATCCAGCTACATCAAGAGTCTGAACTGCCGACTGCCTTCTACCTACTATCCAGACCAAGGTAACTCCTGACAGTTTTCACTGCTGGTGACACCACTGCTACAGCAGTAGTAAATGCATCATGTAAAATAGGGACTGATCAACAAACTGCAATATATATTAAAAAAAATAACAAAAAAAAAAAAAAAAACCCTCAACTTGTACTAGGAAATAAAACTTAAGAAAGAACAGACATTCACAGAGGAAGCTTCCAGGGTCTTAGGTACCAGCAGTGGCAGTTTTACTTCCTGGCAGGCCCCAATCCCTGCTGCACCCACCTCCTGGATGTACCCAGTCTACCCAAGAGTACACAGCACTGCCTGACTGTCACAGTTCACAACTGAGCTTATTAAGGTAACCTAAAGTTGGTATAAACTTATTTTAATAGTATAATTAAGTAACACAAACCATAAGGATTTTCGTAGCTGGTACACCAGGGCAGAAAGGGGATGACAGAAACCTTATGACAGGCACAGACTAGGCAGATTCTTCCTCTCTCACACAGCCTCTAAGTCCATTGCCATCATCTCATTCTAGGTGCCTGCAGTAAGAGGACACAGTCACTTCAGTATCCTACTACAGGGCTCCCAGAAATAGCACATCACAGGTGTCCATCAGACTAACTGCTAAAGTTCCTGTAAAGATGCTTTCCTAATTGAATGCCTGTAATGTTAGGTGAATTTTAAAATCTGCTACTTGGTTTTTTCCTCCCATGTTAATAACTACCAAATCATTTGATAAAAATACTTTGATTCCACAACTGCAACTAAACAATTCTTAAAGCATCTTGTCTCTTCTGAGACTTAACTTCAAATTTCTGAGACTGCAGCAATAATAGATATTGAAGTTAAGATTTAATGCTGAAGTAATATGGGCTGGATATGCTTGTCTTATTTCTAAACAAGCATGCCTAGATTAATAATAAACTTTGGCCAGATACATATTTTCATTTGCATGTTTTTCATATAGCATCATCATCGTGTGTGTGTAGAGTGCTAAAAATGGAATGAAATCTTCCAGCTGAAAACAGTTCCACGTGACAAAACAGAGAAGGATCCTGAAAACTCCTGCTTCATGTCATGTGCGAGTGTGTGTGCCTGTGTCTTTTCTTTTTTCCTCTCATCTAATTTCATCTGTGAGAGACTGTCCCTAGAGGACAAGACAAGAGAGAACCAATTATATCCAGCGGTTGGTTTCTCCAAAATGAAGGCATCTGTTCCATGCCAACGACTTCCACATGGAAGAAAAACAGAACTTTGAAGGCATCTGCGTTCATGGTTGACAGTTGCAGATCTTAGGGTCTACTGTAATTGCCCAGCTGCAAACATGATTTGGTTGCTGCTGTTGTCAGCTGATCTCCTTGCATTGAAAAGAAGGGAGCTTAAATAGCAAATAGCTGGATAAAAATCAGATATTCTTCCACAATACTGACACCTTTTCCCTTCTGAAGGAGGTATTTTTCCTGGTACAATGGGTTTGATGGAAGTAAATTGCAAAGTGGTTCTTAAACTAACATTTTACAAAATACTCTATTTTAAAATGCTATTCTTTAAATAATGTACCAGTCCAAGCACAATGTGTTCATTATCTGCTAGCATTTCAGGCTGGTATTTTCTGAGAGTAATTCAGAAACCAGTGTGATTCACCAGCCACACAATCCTGCAGCCCACCTTATTTAGCCAAGTAGTCTTAGTAATATCAAGAGTACACCTGAGCAGAAGCTCAAGAGCTTTCACCCCAAATGCATATGGCAGATAAATAACTAGTATGTTTATTACTCAACTAACATCACTTCCAATGTGAGTGAACACTTTACAAAAGACACTTTATAAAAACATTACTGGTAATTCAAAATCTGGCTTTACAGCACTGGGTGCCACATTTGCAGTGAGATACTCAGCAATGCTGTGCACCTTCACTGCTAAAAACATCGAGCAAGTTGTTAACAAGAAGCTCATATAAAGAGGCAAAACACTAACTGATTTTCCAAAGCACAGGACTGAGTGCCATTTAGAGATCCATGACTACTGATGGTGCAGTTGCAACAAAGACAATTAAAACTGGCCTAAGCAGAAAATACACTGACATTCTCCATACTCAACCCACCAGATAAAAGTGGATCAGAGTTTCCAGAAATATTTCATGCACCTCTTGAGTTTTTGTAGTTTGCTTACCTAGGACTTTTTATTAATATCTTGAAAGAAGGGAAACAGTATATGATAGGGAGATACTTTTTTTTTAATGGAATTCTTTGTTATTTTGCTGGATTCCAGCTGCAATCTCAAACATGCTCTGCAGCAACAGCATTCAGCCCTCCCAGCCAGGTAGCCACTCAGCTTAAAAACGACAGTAAGGATTCCCAGACAGTCTCCCTTGCCTGGCACATACCTCAAATTATTATGAATGCCTGAAGCAGTGAGCCTGGGGGGACACAGGCCTGTGCAGTAGGCTTGACACTTCCTGACCACTTCTAAATTCCCTCCAGGAAGGACAAGAGTTGGGAGTGAGGACAATTAACACAGCCACCTGTTTCCTGTGACCTCCTAAGGGGGAGACACGGCCACTGATGATTTGCTCTGGCAATGTCACTGAGGTCCTGCCCATCCTTCTCTTCCCAGAGAAGCCATGGAATAATAAAAACAATAACGGCCAGTAATAGCTCTGTAAGAGATAGTGAAATTTAGGTCTGGACTTAAAAACAAATGAACAAACAAAAAAGAAAATTAACATCAGAAGTTCCCCATGTGAAGAAGGTGGGACCAATAAATCCCAGAATGTGGAAGGAAAATTATACATTGATCCCCTCCTTCCAACTACTGTAGCTGGTATTTACTGTAGCTGTGCACTTCTCTGGAAAAAGTCAGGAGCAGGCAGCTGGCTTAAACACAATTTAAAACAGATCTTGGGATACACAAGTTGAAAATCATGGCCCAATGGACTCACTATGAATCTGCAAGTATTATTATGGAAGGAATAGGCTTTTTCTCTCCTTTATTTGGAAGTCTTGTAAGGTAAGTCTATGATTCAAAAAGAATGCCCTTGCTTTACACTGCGACCTGAGCTAGACTGTTTTATTAGGGAGAGATCTAGATCTGAGAACTGATCCAAAAACCTATTGTCAAGATCACAGACGTGAGATGGGAGCACAGAAAGCTTGAAGGTCCAGCTCCTCAGACTGGCATTTAAACGAAAGAAACAGTGTCTTCAGTAAGAACTGGGCATGGGAGTACGACAGAAGATCTGAGCTCCAGCGTTTTAATTCAATGTTTACAAGCTCTGCTGATCCATGGAGTTGCATTAATTTATCATGGTGCACATGAAATGTGTACAACGTCCAGAAACTACCTTGGGTTATTCAGTTCAGTAGGGTGGTTTCCTTGTCCACCTGTAGCACGCTTTAATACAGGTTGCAGCCTGCTTTTCCAGCATTAAGTGGTTTGCCATCAAGCTTTAAAATAATAAATAGTAGAGTCATGAAACAGGTTTTGCTTAATGGTTCCTGGAACTCAGTGACTTCACTCACTAAAACACTTTCTATAACATTACCCTTAAATACTTTTAGCAATGTCACCATTAAAATAAAATAAAAAAATCATCCTGGCAGTACCATCCATTGACAGCACACCCATAGGTGCCATTATTCCCACATCTGTTGGCAGCTTTTTCTGGCACCATTATGCTTTAATGGCTTTGGCAACAAACCTCACCTGGATTTCACTGGAAGTGCTCCTTTGGAGCACTCTTCCCAAATATCCCTTGCAGCATTCAGTCTCCTGTGTTGCACCCTAATCATCCCATTTTCTGGCAATAGCCTTACCCTCTCACTGTCAAAGCCTGAGCTGGTCTTGGGAGTTCTCTTCCTAAACTTGTCTAATGCATGTGTGATTCAATGTTGGGATGACTATCCCAAGAGGATTTCAGGACAATATCTTAGCTGCTCAGGCTAGATGTTCACTCACATCCCAGCTTTAAAATTCATTATATTACATCCCAGTAGCACAGAGTGACCAAACCAATGGGACAGTAAAGCACAGGTACAAAATCTATACAATCTGATGCTTCATCAGAGAGTTTGTTAAACCTTGTGACTCCCAGAAAGCACACACAGCTTTACTCCACATGCCACACAACCTGTCATGGTAACATGCAGAACCAACATTCTGATACTGCTATTACCAAAGTAGAAGAAGCAAAAGCTGAAAAATTCTGAAAAATAAGCAACTGTGGGGAAAAAGTGGTGATTTTTGGGGGGCTGAATTGCTGATAGTTTTTTCTTCCTCCATGCTATTTAAAATGACACCTGGGCCACAAGCAAAAGGGGCACCTGTGAGGTTCACCGTCAGAAATCAAAAAATATAGACAGCAGATCTCCAAATAAAAGGCACCGTGAAAGAAAAAGGCTAGTGGTAATGCCTACTACTTATGCAAACAGCGTATGAACAATCAACATGGCAGACATACACAAGCCTCCTAGAGCTCCAAAAGTAACTGCAGCCTGGTACAATCTGTAATGGTCATACAACCATTGCCTGAGATCATTGCCTTGTCTGAATTCTGGGCTTTACTCTCTGTAGAACCTTGGCTCTCCAGAAATGATACCTATTTTATTACACACCGCTGCCTACCACCATGTGCATATTAATTCCACTCCACTAGGTGGAGTCTTCTGTCTTTCCAGACTGCAACCTAATTTCCAAAAGAACCTATTATCTATCCTCCATGAACTTTGCACATTTACTTTACTGTAAGCGCCAGAGTATACCTGTCTTGATCGACATAAAAATGGCAATGAATCAAATGCCTTCCAAAATGATTAAAGAAATTGTGAGCTATCCCATAAGGATCTCAAATCAGCATGTTACAATGTGGGATCATGCAGGAATATTGTTACTGTGCAACACAACTGTACTTTCACAAACACTACATTCAATAAATAATACTTAGTATAAAAACAGATCCCTTAAATAAGTCACCATATCACACATGCCCAAAAACTACATATAAATAAACCCAAGTTTCAGAACTTCTATTAAAGTCTTTTTGTGCATTCTGAAATGCTTTTGAGTATCTAGGATGCCTTCCCTTTCCAGGCATCCCAAAATGTGTTACAGAAAATGAGAAGGAACATTAAAGTATTCACATTTCCATTCACGATCAGTGGAGTTAAACAGGGCAACTATTCAACAGGAACAGCAAAACTGTATGCAGCATTTCTGGCAACGATTAAGAAAACAGAGCACTCCCATGAATGTGTTCAGAACATGTAGATAAGAAAATCTGGACACCCTGCATCCAGCTATAATCTTTCTTTTGGGGCTGGGCTCCACCCCAACCCCTGTGCGAAGTACCAGAAAATCCCATGACCGAAGCAAAAAGCTCCTTGGTTTCAAAACTCTTCAGGTAGGCAGTCTCAGCTCTCAGACACTGCGCCAGAGCATCTGCTCAGCAGTATCTGCGAGCAGAAAGCCCCACGCAGGCACGGAGCAGGAACGCGAGGCTCCCCAAGGCTCTCACATCCCGGGTCAGCCGAGGTAGGGCCTCCTCAGCGCCGCTCCTGCTGTTGGCAGATATCACGAGCTATTTAAGGCTACAGACATTTTGCCCCAATCGGCCATGTTTTCTGTAATATTTACTTCTCGTACATATGTCTATAACTATGTATACATCCCACAGAAGGTGAGGTTTAACAGGGTTAGCTTTGTTGGGGAAAAGAAGGTTTGGAGGAAAGGAAACAACTTTCATGTTGAGAAGATTTGAATCTAGTGACTGTCACGGGATGTAAACACTCTTCTGGGGAGGGAGGCTTTTTGTTATGTTTCAGGAGAGCACAGAGTTTTGGATAAAATCTGTATAAATAATTATCCCTCTGTCATTCAACATAAATTTATGCACATGTGTGCACACAGTTATGCTGGGGAATACAAACTATAAAGTAGACATGCCACAGACTTCTAGACAACCTACCACAAGCACGGATCTCACACAGAATCCATTCTATATTTAAATTTCAGTTTATTGAATTTTAATTATTTCTGATCTATAGATCACTTTGACAAAAATCCCCCCAAGGTCAAAAGCTTACAAATCCAATTGCAAAACCAAACAGAAGCATCAGCAAGAACCTTTCCCATGCAGACACCTACCAAAAAAAATTAGTTCCTGACTACTAGATTAGATTAGAATTCAACAGCTAAAACTCATTCTAATATTAAAACCAGGTAATTCTCTATGTTGAAATAAGAGAAATATTGAAATAAAGCAATAAAAACTCTCATTCTATTCTGAATGTTTACTCATGTTATGTACACAGAGCTCCATAGATGAAACAGTGAATTATCCCTTCTTCGTTTAGATCCTTATTTATAAAATTAACAAACACATATCCTTTCCATTAAGTTATTGTTGGGTTGTTTTGTTTTTTTTTAATTAAAAATCAACCGTGTTATGTTCTCCAGAGATGCTTATGATATAAAATGTATGCTCTACCAATACTATGCTTTCCAACTCACAGAACTCACTTGGATTAGCAGCTCCACAACAGTGAATATTTTTGTATATATGCATTCAAATATGACTTAGTCATTTCATTTACCATGGAAAAAGTTACTTCAAAATCCCCATTAACTAAAATGTCCTTGATGAGCCTAAATTTAAGATTTGCAGGTATATCAGGAATGAAACAAGCCAAAGAATGTTCTGTCATATACTGAACATCCTTTACATTGCTCAAGGTCCTCAGTAATAAGTAAAACTGTATTGCTGCAATGGGGAAACAGCCACATGTCATTTTAAGATACAATCATAGTTTATTAATAAAATTATTTTTAAAGTACAAGTTAAATCCTTTTACCAACATAGTGACATTCAGCTATCCAGTGTCATTTTTCCAGTTCAAAGAGATATGGTACTAATTGCATAATGCCATTTTATCTGCTGAAGATAAAAGTGCCGATAAACAAAAATGCACATTAGGCAGGAGATTTTTCAGAATAGATTTTTTTTTTTCAAATAACCCACTTGCATTAACAAAAGATTGCAATGGCTTCCAAATTATAGGGTGTTATTTTTAGTGGAAGTAGTTCAATATTCATATTGGAGCAGATGTAGCAGTTTAACAAAACAGCTCTTCAAATCCTGCACAAATTGAAAACAGGAAAACTGATTGCATTTTCTCTTATCACTTTCCTTTTCTGAATTGACACTTTTGGCCTTCTGAAAATTTACACATGGCTTTCATCTCAACAGCACCTGCTGATCAAACAGAAACCTAACATTTTCAGGAAAATGGTATAAAGGACTAGTTTTCTTTTTACCATCTTAAAGGGCATCGGCAGTCCACTTGATGGCAACAATTGCTGACTAGATGGCACACAAAATACATTTTATATTTTCGTTCCACTTACTTTTAAAAATTAGTTAAATCGTAACGGCTCTTCTGTATTTGCTCTTTGTCTGCTTTAAATTAATTTTTAGTCTCTATCTCTGCATTACCCTGATGGGTTTCATTCTACAGTCAGCTAGATTTTAAAGATGATGTGAAAGCCTCTGAAATAATAAACACACTGCATGCTCTGCAGACAGGGGTCTTCTTTATATAGGCATTTATATGCAATCATATAAACTGATATATACATTCATGTGCACATATTGCACATGCATTTCTTTTTATGGTGCTTATACCAAGGAAAAAATGTGTGTGTGTATATACAGATACACATATATGCATGTATGTTTCATTCCGCTGTAGTCTCACTGCATTGATTTCCCCAAGCACTGTCGTTTGAACAGGTTGAGGGGAGAGAAATTCAAAGGGCATTTATTTATTTCAGAGTTGTTCTTTGTTTCCTTTGCAGTCTTCAGACTGGGAGAAGGTCTAGCAGATGCTCTGGAACTTGAGCATCAAGACTGGGTTGAGATGCTGCCATTGCTGAACATGGCAAGCATGCAAACAGCACAACCAGAAATCCTTGGGCTCCTGTAAAAGTTAAAGGTATCAAGTCATGTATTAAAAAAATGAAACATAAGTACCTTGTTATCCCGTCTGCTTCTGAGCCTGTAAACTCTGAAGCGCAGCAGCAGGTAACAAGGACCATCTTCCTTTGTACATAATTCTAGGTGTAATTAAAGATATTCCTGAAACCTTCTATGTGTCAGCTTCTTAACTGATAGAGCCCTCACCCCCCTGAAGTACTCTGCTGCCATCCATTACCATTCTGCTTCAGTGATAAGGTAACCTGAAGGCAGAGACGACATACAGTAATATATGTGCCACTCCAGACAGTTGGTTCATGAATTTCAGTGTTTCATCATGCTCACTGAGGCAGTCGCAAACCTGAAATGTCAATATGTTCAGTCAATGGAAGTAAAATAATGGGGCTCTATTGTCTTACCCTATCGATCTGCTGCTGTCAACAAGAATACATGCCCCCCTGGCTTTAAACAAATTTTAATTAGGCTTTTAGTTACCAGATCATATCTATATATCTATCTGTGCAAACACTTGACAAAGTGAAACGGCAGTATAAATATTTCAAACTTTTAAATATAAACGTAATTGTTTAATGTTGCTTTAAGATATGACCACTGATAAAGCCGTTTGCTAAAGCATCGTGCCTGCACACACTGAGCATGCAAGTCATCTTAATCTGGGAAAGAACTTAAAAAGCACCACCAAAAGTCCATCCGAAACAACAAAAAAAAAAAAAGAGCAAAGAGGCCACTTTTCCTAAAGCCCGGTGTCATCCTCCGCGGGGATTTTGGAAGTTAGGAGCCTTCACTGAAATCACCCCAGGAGTGAGCGATGGGTGCCCGGGCTGTCACATCCCCTCAGCCCCGCCACCACCCCAGGCCGGGGCTCCTGCACCCCATCCCTCCGGACACCCAGACATGGCACTCTCTGCTCCCCTGGGCTGTGTTTAAAGTGGGGTCCCTCAGTCACCACCTTTGTTCTGCGGCCACCTCCTCCCTCCTCGAGGCCAGCCCGGCAGGCGAGGCCCTCTCCCCTCCCCTCGGCGCTGCCCAGGGGCAGGGGGGAGGCAGCACAACAAAAGGCAGATATCCCCTCTCCCCGCCGGCTAATCTCTGCCCGTAAATCCCCCGCCCGCTCCGGAGGCAGATAATAAGTGGTTACATCTTCACTTCTCCCCGTGCCCATCGACTTGTGCAGCGCCGAGGGAGCCGGGCCGGGCCGGGCCGGGCGGTGTGAGGCAGCGAGTGGTGTCCCCCCGCCCGCCTCTCCGCCTCTCCCGCCCGCGGGTGGAGATTTTACCTTCCGGCGGCGGGAGGGACGAGGAGGCGCCGGCGCGGCCCGGGCTTTGTGCGCCTCACACGCCTCGCAGCTTATCTGCGGCGCAAGGACGGAGCATCGCGGCTCCGCGGCCCCGCCGGCGCGGGGGGAGCGGCACGGCGGCGTGCATCGGGGCGATTACGGTATCAGTGCGGCCCAGATGGCGGCCGGAGGATGTGCGAGGCAGCGGAGCCGGCAGTGGGGCTGGGGCCGGACCGCGGTCCCCGGGGGGGCCGCGCCCGGCACGAGGAGAGGCGCCACCTCCGCGCCGCCCACCGGGGGAGAAGGCGGCGGTGCCCAGGTCTGCGTGTGCTTGCTGTCTGGCCCTGCAAGCTGCCCGACACCTCTCCGGGATAAGGACCCTGCCGGGGGTCGCGCAGCGCTGGCTCCCCAAGGTCGGAGGTCGCCACCACCCCACCAAGACGATCGTCCCTGTGACTGCCTCCACCTCGGCTCCCCCCTACATCCCACACGAGGCACGGCGGTTGCTGGCCCAGTGCAGTCACAGACTGTACGCGCTCCCGGTTTGCCCAAGTCCCTACCTAACCAACTCAGCCTGCTCATTGTCACCATTGGCATAAGAGCCCGAACACAGCACTGCTGCTACAAAGTGGTAGCATCATTCGCCAGAGGATGAGCGATAAGCAGAAGTAGGTCCCTACACTTCACAACTCGGGTTCTGTGAAAACTGAGGGGCTGTTTTGTCAGAATTCATCAAAGAGGACAGCGTTAGCATGAGATATGTGAAGGGAAGACAGCAAAGCAGCCTGGCCTGCCTGCCATGGGCACAGCCAGCCAGCAGAATAGCTATGCCAGCACCAGGCACTCTATGCACTCGGGTTTTAAAGTTTCTAAAATGCTTCTCCCTGGGAATCAACACTTATTTGTTCGGAAACGCATTTCCCTTGCACGTCAGCCGAGGAGCACCATGAAGGAGGGAGGAGGACAATGACAGCATGCTGAAGTGAGACTGGCATTGTTCAGTGCAAAACTCCTTCCAAAATCACTCGTCCACGATAGTAGTTTATTCCACAAGAAAAGGAATAAAGGGAATTTGACACATAATACAAAGTGAAAACCAGAACCTAGATGGGGGAAGGGCATGTGTGTGAAAATCGTGTCACCGCAATGAATGTCAGATAAAAAAGGGTCTGTCACAAATCCTCCGCTAATCCAATAATGTGAAAACCTCTTGGTATCACTGAGACATAGCACAAGGTATTTTTTTTTTTATTTTTCATAAAGCACTCTATATGTTTGGCCTTCGAAAGACAGCAGTTGGCCAAATGTTCCTATCTCAAAACCAGGACCTTGATTTTTCAATGAAGGCAAACTGATTTTCACGTGTCAAATTTACTATGCATTCCTCAGCCAGTATTTTTACCCTGAAGAAGGGCCACTTCTCCCTCAACTTCTTCCAGTTGTCAGCTGTGTGACAACCATATTTGGAGGTAATCAGACAGGTCATATTACAAAAGTTAGTCAACTTGTTTGAAACCTTAGCTCCTAAACTTAGTGGTATGTTCTACACATTTCAAAAGAAGAGTAACTTATAGGTTAATTCAACCTGCAAGGTAATACAGAGATTTCTTTCTGTATATGTTATTTCAAGCTATTACACACAAATTAGACAGTGCTCTTTTTTGGTATTTCTGTTACAGAGCTTTTCCTTGAAATACATATATATCATGCCATGAACTAATTTAGGATCTGCCAGATTCTCATCTTGCAGGGCCATCGTATGCATCTTATATCTATGTCGACCATACTTTTATTACTCAAATCACAAACCTCTAAAGAAAAACTAATCCAGGATCCTTCCTAATGTAAGCAGTTTGCTGTGAAAACACATTTAAAAATAAAACAATATGTATTAATGGGATAAATACAATCAGAATACAAATGTGTAACAGAAGTGGCGTTCCATAAGCACAGCTGTCTCAAAGTCCAAGCTGCAGGCTAGAAATCTTAATTTCAACTGACTCTCTTGTAATAATGGGTTACCTTCCTCTAAAGCGGAAAGTCCATCTGCCCCAGGCAGATAAGTTTTGAAGCATTAAAATAGATAAAAATCTAACATTTTCTTTCTTGCATTGAATATGTGAATTCTAGTGTGCTATAATGTGAGAATTCCAACATATGACTATTATAGCATAATATCTCATAGCTCAGCTTGTCATTACCTCACTTGTAATTCTTATGTTAATTATGTTCATAATTACTATAAACAGATGTGGTAGAAATTTATGTGACCTTTTACTTCAGAATGCATTTCTCACTCTTTCCACTTTATTTTAATAATATAGTTTATACCAGAGTAAAGTATTTCTGACACACTCTGCATGTATGTGTGTACATATTTAACATGAAACCATTTCTGCCTCATATTTCAAGCAGAGGACCACCTACATGACAGTACATTGACATGAAAGTGATGATAACTGAAAAGTCTACCCTGAAACATACCCCTAAATAACTGTGCCTACAGTGAACCTTTTCGATTAAGCATAGCTAGAGACATCACTGAAGCCTAAGACTTAAATGGAGCACTGCATTTTTATTCAGGACCTTTGTTAATGCAGCAGTATCCTGCTTTACAACTACAAGTACATAACAGCCATACAGCAATTTATTTTACTCACAGACAAACTATCACCGTCTGTACACAAAACACATTTACAATAAAATCACTATGGATTTCATTAAGAGAAAGGCTACTCGAATTTCATTTCTTTGGACCTAATCTATAATTAGTGTGGACAGACAGGTGCAAACCCTTCTCCTCTACAGATGGCTACTGAAAATGGTGCAAAATAGCTCCTTCTGTTTAAACAACACACAGATAACCTGCTCTGCTCTTATCACTTACAATTACCTCCATTATGCTGAACTAATGTTTACTTTAATAAAATGTCCACTGTTGTCTAAACGTTATTTGGAAACTTTCATATCAATATCAGAAAAAAAAAATGGAAGTCAATGTCTTTCAGATGAAAATTTGGAGGGAAGGAAATAAAAAAAAAGCTTTTAAAGAACAGGATACTTTGACTTTGATTTTATGTCTGCTGTTCATTTTTCTCTATCCACAAAACCACACAGTCTGCTACTTCCTGATGTATTTGTGCTACTATATATTAAACTAATAAAGTTTCTAGTAAGAACAGGATAGGTGCATTTTTAAAGCAGTTCTTTAAAAAGGAAAATCTATGTGGAAAACCAAGATCCATTGCCTTAAAAATTCAGTTTTTAAACCAACTGTTTTAGATCTCTGTTGTGAAACAACGTAAAGACAATGTAACCTGGAAGTCAATGTTTTAAGGATTTAGACTTTCATTCCTTACACTAAATTCAGTGTCAGTTTCAACTTTTTTAATGTTATAGGTTGTTTTTAAAGGCTGTATGTAAAAGAGGAGGCTGCTACTAACTACATGGATCAAGGTTTTTTAATGTGTTCAGATTAAAATAATTATGTTTTCACATTCTTTAGCCAAGCCACGAGAAATAGCTCCTTCAGAACACCAAATCCATGTTTTATTTCAGCTATTAAGTCTTCTTGATCTCTGCATGTCAACTTAAGTTTCTACAGAACAAAGAACAAGACATTTTCTTCTATCCCCCAATCTAAAAAGTCTGAAGCTCCTGCAATAGCAACATACTGATATCCTTATTCAATTAGCTAAAGATTTAACAGTAATGGACTGTGGCAAGTGGATTTGAAAGTTGAAAATGACAATTGCAAGCCCTTTCTCCCATCACCCCCAATGCAAACACTGCAGATGCCTATTTCACCCAAAGCGTCTGGCAATGAGGAGTTTGCAGTCTGCACAGTACCTCAGTGAGGCGAGCTTCGCATTCAACGCCTGTCGTCTGAAGTTCGTTTCAGAGAAGTGAGAAACAGGATTTGACAGGGAAGAATGTCCTGAACTGACTATCCACTGACCAGCACTCCAGGTGGAGCTATTTTTCTCTCCCATTATTCCAAAAACAATACTCCCAGTATAAAACTCCATGTGCACACAAGCATACATAGTGTTAAGCGTACACAGATGAGAGATACCGTGTGATGTTTTACTAGTCCATTATTTAGGCACAAAACAAGTTAACGTTAAGGTGGTCAAAAATGGTAGAAGGCAGTGTTTTACTTAAAAAGATTTTGGAAACTATTTAAAAGCTCAAAGCCTTTGAAGAAAAACAACTTGTGCAGCAGTTGCCAGGAAGCAGTGACCTAACACTGCTGTCTGCATTCCATTACAAACAGAATGGTTCTTGTCTCCCTACAGCATGCTCATGGCTCAAGAACCCAGCCGCTCACCCTCCTACAAGCACAGGACAGAAAGAAGTCCTGCTATCATCTCTTGTACGCCTTGCCTGGCACCAGCTTGCCAGAGACATGAATGGATTTAAGTCTGATGGATTTTTGGTGGAGTTTGGTGTTTTCTTGCACTGATGCATGGTTGAGCTTCCCATGACAGCGAAGGAAAATGGCTCATTAATTGAAAATAGCAGCAGTTATACTGAAGGTTCAGATACGGTGAAACTGATGTTAAGAAAGTTATCAATTATCAAACATAGTTATTATAAGTTCCTAATTAAAAACCTTTACAGCAAATCTGCAGTGAATCTCACACCTAACAAAGCCTTTGCCAGCTTCATATTTTCACAGATTGTGCAGTTATGAATGAGCTATACTCGTGTCTTTTCCTATTATCTTCCTATTGATGGGGAGCCACACAAACACCTAGTGCTAAAACCAGAATGCATAAACAAGGTGGAGTAACTTTTTTATCATTCAGCCAAGCTGAAGGAAATTCCCTGATCATATTGGATTTCCTAAGGAAATCAGCCCAGAATAAACTGAATGAGGTTTTCAGACTTCCCATGGAAAGGTCAGGCATCAGCTTTAACAACCATTAGAAACCAGTTTCAATCCTCTCGGCTATCCAGATTCACTAAGCCGTTAACAGAAAAGCTGAACAGAAATCTGGACAATAGAATTCAACTCTAAAAACGGCTTTCACATATTGCCTCAAAC